CCAACCGGGATCAAAACCGTTGGTGCCTTACCCCATTTCTGCTTCATGAACCACTTTCTGCATGCAGAGCTGGCTGTCAATTACCAGCTCTGCATGCGAGAGCGCGCACAGAAGGAGGAAAAGAGGCAGCGAAGGCTTCTGTAAGAGATTTTTGATGATATAAATAAATATGTGTTCCTGCAGAGGAGGGATTGGAGTGATTTCATTCAGACCACGTTCATCTGATGGGCAGCCCAGACAAGACGGCGCTCTGTTATTTACATTTCACATGCAACGAGGCTCCGAGTGCAGCTCGGCCTTAATTGATTGAACCAATCGTATTAGGACCAGGTGATTTGGACTGCTATTTATTACCTGAGTTAATTAAAGTCGGAGAGGGAGAGTCATACAGGACGAGGGGACGGAGGGAGATTTGGTAAAGGATGGAGGAGCAATACAGAGAGAAAAGGAGGATTTAAGCTGCCATACGCAGAGATAGTATGAAATGAGAAAAGGGGGAGAAAGTTGGGAAGAGCTGCTGAAAAGAGGAGATGCAATTAAAAAGTGAGTGAATGAGTGAAGCCTTTCTAACAGCAGTTTAGGAGGTGGAAGAGTTGTGAAGTTCAGGGCTGGATGGGTGAGCGGGAAACACTCCTGAGACTGTCCTGGACTTTCATTCAAAGAGTCAGATTCAATACAAATGACAGATAATTACTTCCTGACATTAGAACAAACATAATGTTGTCATGAGCTGATGTAAAAGCTTTTCTAACCTGTTAAAAGTATTTAGTCTTGTGAAAAATAAAATATTTGAACGTGTTTCCTGAACACTGCTTCTTCTCATTAATAAAAGACAAAGATGGCAGCTCACCTACCAACTGTACAAAACACAACAGAGTCGCCGCCTCCAACTGTGGGAAGCCACCAACTGTGCCCAGAGATAATCAGAGTCTGACTTCACCAAAGAGGGCAGCGGGCAGGGGCTGCCGAGGGGCGAGCAGGTGTAGTAAGAACTGCTCAGATATGTTCGGGCCATCAAAGAAAACGGAGCGAAACAGCACAGAAATCTGCCACCGCCACACGGTCTGGTTCAGGAGGCAGATCAGGTCATCTCCTAAGAGTGCACGCCACATATCCTAAAGCAAGATGCTGACCCCAAGTTGCTCTCTGATGCATCCATCGGGGTATAAATGTGCGTGAGTCTTAGATTTTAAAAAAAGCATAGAAAAAGTGCTTGCATGAAAAAATAATAAGTAAATAAATACATTGAAATAGTATGAATGAGGTAAGCTGTATAAAGTGTTTTGTGTGCTCAGGTAGAAAAGAACTGGATGTGATTCAGGCGTTTGCAGAAACCTTTTGTTTGTTGTCCACAGGTGGCTGTGAGTCACAAACTTTCCTTTTCTTGAATAAATACCTGCAGCTTTGCATGCAGGGAAAAAAACCATTAGCACATTTCCACAGTGGATCGGTCAGGATCTGACAATAAAGAAAGTTTTGTGGTCGTCTGTGACGGGTGGACTCCACACTTACAGGACAGACTTGTTTGTAATGAACGCTGCTCTATCTGGATAAATCCTGGCCTCGCACCTGAGCTGTCAGATTTACTCGCTCCTTTACTGATCTACACGGTTTTTTGCAGCTTCTGTTTGATTTCAACTGAATTGTCTGCGTCTGGCTCAAGAGTTTTGCACAGTGCGGTGTTTTAGACGACACGTGGTCTGCTGCCTTGACAGAATTCGGCTATTTCCGAATAAGCCTGCCAGAGTCGCCCCGGGCTGCTTCTTAATTTCCACCTGAAAGAACAGCATCAGATTTTGTCAGAAGCAGCTGCAGAAGTGTAAGAGCAGAGTGGAGACCCCGGGGTCGATGAATTCACTATAAGGCTGGGTGAATATGGAAATACAATAACTCTGGGTAAGATGGAATAACAAGTCATAGCAACAAGTCAGTGATATTACTGGACCTGTTCCAAAAACCTCGGCTGCATCTGATGCAAGAGAGGAGCTAAAGAGTGCAGCATCGATTGTAGTCATGGTTGTACCAGGCAGCGTTATCGGTGCATGTGCTACATGCAGGCTTCACAGATGGAGATGACTTGTGTTATTCTAACAGATATGGTCTGGTTCTGGAGTGCAAACTGTCAAGATTTTCACCCCACACGAGCTCTATATGTTTTACTTTCATTTATTTAAAGGAGACCTGAGGCACCACCCAGATGCGCTTTATCTTTTTTAATGTGATAACATTTTGATTTCACAACTGAAGTCTGAGCAGAGGACTGGAAATCAGGAGCTTACACTCACATCCACATCAGGCTGGTCAGACTGTGTAAAGCCTGCCAAGTGCAACCATTATAATAACAATATACCAGATATATACAGAAAGCACAGAGCCTAGAGGTGCACTGCTTCACTGCGATTGGCAGAAAGATTCAAATATTTCTGGGAAGTCTTCAAACGCACACATGAGAGCTTCTGGAAAGATGAAGCAAACGCGGACGAACCGCATTCATCGGACGCTGGATGAAACAAATCATCTGAAAGATTAGTCGAGCTTATAAACACGTCAATTAAAAGACAAAAAGAAATGTTTTGCTCATTTTGAGTAAAATTGTCTTCAAATCAGCAGTCAGATCGAATCGTGACCTTTACAAAATGTGCAAATCCATCTCAGTGAATAACTTCCAGCAGCTTGTTTTAGAACGACTGTATTTATAGCTTTACATTTGCTTGTTTAACTGTTGCGTGTGATTGCATATGTTTCTAGGATGTATTTCGAGGTTGGAGACCTTGGGAAGGAATCCTATTAGCTTCTCTAGTGGAAACCAGCAGTGATTCAGCTGAACTTTAATTTATTAGCTACAGAATTTCCAGCCTGTGTTTGACAATCTGGGTTACAAGAAGTCATTTTTCCAATGATAATGTAGCAATTCTTTTACAAAACGTGGTTACTGTGTTGAAAAGAAAGCCCACTTTTAAACGTCTGCTGGCTTTTGATGAAATGAAACCAAACCGATCAGAGCGTACGGAACGTGATCTGCTATTATCCCGACGTGAATACCGCCTATTCATCAAACTTCACGGACCTTGACTGGGAGTAGAGAGCACTCTGTGTGTGTGTGTGTGTGTGTGTGTGTGTGTGTGTGTGTGTGTGTGTGTGTGTGTGTGTGTGTGGAAGGCAGAAGTATAAACGGAGAAAGTCAAGGTCGGAGAGGGGAGTCGGTGGCAGAGAGGGGGAGACAGAGATGTTTGACCAGGGCAAATATAGTCTGTGATCTGCATCGGAATTAAAGGAACGACAGACACGTGTGGAAGTTGTCTTTCCAATCAGCGCTAACCTTTCACAGACTGAGCTCACAGACAGTAAATGCAAATATTTATTATGAGCATTAAAAAATGTCCAGTAATAGACTTTTTTTTTTTAGTTACATAAATTCGATTAGCTTGGTTTGCTGGTCTGTGCTGCAAAAGAAGCAAATAATACACTTACATGGAGACAGACTGTGCAGAGGTTTGGCACCACCTGGTTGTTTGTACTGGAGCCAGTTTGAAGAGAATAGTTGCAACTCTTAGAGGCACAGTGTTCCTTTACAAGCCTGAGACCACAGCTAGCCACGGGCTAACATCAGCAAGCCGACCGACACTGTAGGTACACAGCAGGAAGGTTATCATATAACCAAGTGCAGCAACTAAATTCACGAATAATTTCGCCATGATATGACGATATACGGGGTCATCTGAAACAGGAATGACTAGGGCATTTATCACATGGTCCATCCATCCACTCATCATGGTCTAAGTCACAGAGGAAGCAGTTCAGGAGACGCACAGATGCCCGTAGGTGTAGCAGCTCTACTCTGAGCCCCTCCTGATGAAAATCACAATCAGTTTTTTCTTTCATGAGCTGCCAGCGTTTGTCTCATTGCAGATCTTGGTTGCATTGGACTTGAATATTTTTCTGAAGCTGCTTTAGCTTCAGGTTTTAGTAATCGTCATTCCTTTAACTACTGGAGGGCGAGTTCAGTGCTGTCCTAACGTAACAGTCAGGAGTCTTCTGTTTGCAAATGGCCTCTTACATAAAAATGTGTGCTATGCAGAAGTGCATCTCACGTACTGTGCCACTACAGCTGTGACAACGCAATCCACAGATTACCTTTAATGTACTTCAGTAATCATGGCATATCATTTTAATTTACATCTGTTCATTTTCTAAGTAACTAAACAGATTTTTAGATGTGGAAGTAGTGGTGTGCTGGAGGTGGGTTGCAAAGTGGCTTGCAGAAAGCAGGTTCAGGCCACTGAGGGATCAGCTGATGTGGGTTTATCCACAGAGCTGCAGAGCCAGTCTGAAGTAACACTGTCTCATTTATTCAACACAACAAGTTTCAGTAGTGATTATTTTTATGTGTCAAGCTTCGTTTTATATTTTCAATGACAAGAAACATGTTTAGTGGTGTTTTTTTTTTTTTTTTTGGGGGGGGGGGGTCATTCCTTTTAAAGCTCAATTTTTGTTTTATTTTTAGTTTTTATCTGACTTGAATCCCAACACTGGGAAGAAACAGAAAATGTATTTTTGGGATTACCAGATGTCACGAAAAGCTGAGTGAAACTGGAGCTCCAGCTCTGATCTAACTGCCATAACAGCCTCGTCTGTTCCAAAGCTTAACTCCTGAAATCCAGCTCTTTAGAAATAAATCAATACGAGGACTGAGACGTGGTTGGGAAGGATAAAAAGGTTAATCTCTGATCATCTTTTTTTGCTTACATGTTTTGGTATGCATATCCAGTGGGCTGCATTCATTCTACGCTCAAAAGCAAACATTAGAAATACTGTTTGTTTAATAAGAGCTTTGTTTTCCTACAGCTGAGATGTTAAAGGGCTCGCGCTGACAGACGGTGGAAGGCAGCTCAGCAGCTGCATGCTGTTCTCCAGGCACACTGATGGATGTATCCATCGAACGGAAATACCTCGAGCCCTTTAACGACTAAATCCATCTGTTTCTTTTCTCTTAATCTCAGGACCTGACGGCCTTGGTAGCCAACGGCACGGTGACCAGCAAGCCTCCCGTCACTTTACGGTTGGTCATCCCAGCGAGCCAGTGCGGTTCCCTCATCGGCAAAGGCGGGTCTAAGATCAAGGAGATCAGAGAGGTGAGCCGCTCGACAAGATGAAGTCTCTGTCGTAAAATCGGGCATTGCAGGAACGTTTTCCACTTTCAAAGAAGACATCAAACCAGATATGAGTTACTGCTGATTAACCTGTTCTGACCGAATGAAAAGCTTTACCGACAGGTTATGTCATCGTTTTTATCTTTAGCTCAGTTTCCCTGGGTCTTTTCCCGTGTTGTAGTTGTGTCTTATTTTGAAAGAAATATTTACACGTTACCATAGCGACCAGAGAGCATTCTGGCTGTGTGATGTGAAGTTTATCATCACAACAGCTAAATTGCTAACAACTAGAAGTTGTGTTACTAAGGTAATAGGCTCCAGATCCTCCAACCTGAGAATGGAGGGTTTCGTTGTTACTCAGCTGTCACTCATTCATGAATTAAAATCTTTGGAAGAATTTATCAAGAGCACAGGCGGTGGTGAAAAAAAGCTTTTTAAAAATCACATTTTGGGTAAAAAATAGATGCAGGTGTTTTTGTCACAGTGAACATTTAATTATTGTCACATAACGCTATAAAGTAACTGCTGGAATCAGCACCTGGAGGCATTACCAACATGTTTGCAGAGTAGTGAGAGTTGTTTCCTAAAGGAGGAAAAGGTCGCTCGCAAGCTAGTGCTCGATGAACAAGAGTGAAAGACCTAAACAACTTAAATATTGGCTCCTGCTTCTGGACAAAAAAAAATACACACTTTATTTTAGATTTTTAAAAATCCATACACACTGTGGGAGCATAAGTGCTGGGCCACCGACACATGAGGCCTACAGGAGCTGCTGGCCATGGAAACCCAGTGTGAAGCTCCCAGCCTGCAGTTTCTGTGCTGATGTTCATGCCAGAGAAGGTTTGACTCTCCAAGTCCTGTAGTGAGATGAAGGGCTTGGTTGGTGCCTCACATCAGGTCCGGTGTCATTTACACGAACTGTGAAGCGTCTGATGACGCTTCACAGTTCGTGCTTGTGAAACTTGTGAAGATACAAAAGACAAAACTACATCTGATGATAAAGATATCCTTAACAAAAATGTTTACCGAGTAAAATTTGCATTTTTGAGCTCTAAAAGCCCCGTTCAGTCTGTCACCCATGACCCCAGATGTCAAAGAGAGGGAGCTGTTGAGTCTTGTCCTGTTTAATTTAGGATATAAACCCAGCACCGGCGTGGAACTGACTCGCTGTCTCTAATAGTCTGTTTGAGATTTAACCAGCAGAAAGTTAATCTGCATTTTACTGAGCAGAAGCTGCTTGGGCTTGTCTGACAGAGCAGACCCTGTTTGTAACAGGCTTTAATGGGCAGCTCTGTTTACAACCTGGGCACAGTGGAGAGAATGCAAATGAATGTTATTTTAGTATACCGTGACTGGCTTCTGTGCAAGTTTGACTCAAAGGTCATAAACATCAATCCAGCAGACAGGAAGACTCAAACATGAGCTCCCATATTTAGATACTAACTTTGACCCCGACTGGATGCTTGTCAGACTGAAACCTTGTGGAATAAATCAAAAGTGTTCGTGGACAAAAGCAGGTCACCAAAGTTTTCTTTTTGATATGTAAAATACAAGGACCAGGCAATAATGTGAACACACACAGTGTGAAACAAGACCTTGAAAACTTCACAAAGGCTTCAGCGTGAATGTTGGGTCGCACATCTGACAGCATCCGCCGCAGCATGAGCCAGCTAATTAAGGGAAAATGGTAAATGGCCTGTATTTGTACAGCGCTTTACTAGGTCTGAATTCCACAAGCGCTGAAACTTTTATTCATTTCGCTCTGGCTTTCTTACTAAATATCCTGAAACTACCACTTTGAATAGTCTTTGCTTAACTTTGAGTGCGTGAACTTCATGTCTATTAATATACAATCTGACACGTGACCTTCTGAGTTGTCAAAAAACACTTTTTGGGGCCTCATGTAGCATCTGACAGCATTCTCTCCGCTTATATTTTTAGGGTACAGAATCACTGCTGTGTGTGTTTCTTTGTGTGTACAGACGACAGGTGCGCAGGTTCAGGTGGCAGGTGACCTCCTCCCCAACTCCACAGAGAGAGAAGTGACGATATCAGGGAGCCAGGACGCCATCATCCAGTGTGTTAAACTCATCTGCACTGTAATCCTCGAGGTACGTGAGTGAGGCCAAACAGGAAAACTGAGTGAAATTAATGAGAAAGTACTGTAGAAAATGTTCAAATGCCTGGTTTCCACAAAGCTGTGAAGTCTGGGGCTGAAAACCAGAGCCTGTGTGGAAACTCCAACAGCTGCAGTTCCGCTAAAGGCCACTCGGGGGTGGCTCCAGCAGTGAGTCAGTCCCCATAGACTCCCGTGTTAAAACTTTACAGCAGAAATAAACATGTTTACAACCTGGTACAAAAACCATTTTGGTCTCTATGGAGATTTTCCCTCTTCATTACATCATTAGGGGCGTGGCCTCTCTGACTAAGAGGTGAATGGTGACACAGGCGGTCATAGCTGCTAGCTGTCTGCTAGGCTTCACCTCAACTAACTGGAGTCAGCGAACGTGTTTGTGGAGCCTTTTAGAGGATTTTTATTGTAATTATCTGACCAATGATATGGCTGCTGTGGGGCTAGTTGTATTAACAGATCGTCCAAAAAGTGTGACCTCCTTCTAGGATTTTATATTTTTACTTGGTGTCTGTGTTTGTGTGAGGGAAGCATGCAGTCTATTGATGTTGCTTGCTAACCTGATGACTTAGCAGACCCTAAAAAACCTTTTATCTGCAGAGAAATGAAATGCAAGGTGTGAAAAAGCAAGGCGTTAAAGGTGTTTGAGCAGTGATGAACCTTCTGGCTCCATTAAACATGATATTACGTTAGCTAAAATACTAACGTTGAGGTTTTAAAATACTAGTTGGTGACATCAGAGTGTCTCCATTCATTGCATACAGTCTGTGGCTGATGCTCTGCAGGTTCATCACTGCCTCAAACACCTTTAACGCTGCTTTTTCAGCATTCCTGTTTTCACACATTGCAGCTGCTTTGGTGCACATTTATCCTCAGTGCAAGTTTTTGTTTTTTGGATGTGTGCATTATCTGGTGGGTGGTTGCTATGACAACAGCCTTATGTGCCTTCATCCTTTTCTAAGCTAACCTTTACACCTTAATAATTAGTCAAAATGTCTGACATCATCTTACGTGATTAGTTCAAGGCTTTCTCTTCGTATCGGTATTTCTAGATTTGTCATTTTGTGACACGAGCATCATCGCCATCCTTCCCTGATCTATTATTACCATCACACTCGTGACACTCAAGACACAAAGCTTTTTTCTTCATCTGATGCAACCTGATGCTAATTTTGAAATAACAGAGCCGCAGGAGTGATTCTTTTAAAAATTCATGCAGCGGCTCTGTAATGATGCACACTCGTCTGCGCTTTATTACCACTACATTACATTTTTGTGAGATTTCGTGCTCCTTTCCAATAATCTTCAAAATGGAAACAGTAAAATTTATAATTCATGATTGTATTATAATTAATCAGAGACTGCAGTCATTAAGGAGAGCACATCTCGAGGATTAGAAGCAGAAACTGAGAAATCAAAGGCTTCAGGAGCTCATTGGTATTCCAAGCACCTTAATCTGCGATGAGAAAGGAGGAGCAGAAAAGAAATAAAAATGCTGACCTTATTTAAACTTCATTCACTTTCAAGTGCTGGTACTTACTGTCAATGTGAAGTTGCATACCTCCATTCACACTTTGTTTGATCTGAGTAAGAAATCTTTTGATGTACTTTGGTCCTCTGATGGACTGTTGTCTCCCTGCCGTCCACCCTGTGCATGCTTGGAAGTGATGCATCCAAACAGCACGTTGGGATAAATGAATGAGAAATCTATTTTTCTGTGAAGTCCTGTTGTCGGACGTAGAGTAGAGGTTTCTGCTGCAGCTTCACTTTATTCCACAGTGAATTTAGAGGGAACGAAATCTCAGAACTCAACAAAAATGCCAATGTAGACGGAAAAAAATTGATTCTGTTCATCTGGACGTAGTGTTTTCAGTCTCAGCTGACTGCAGGTTTTCCCAACCTTATATAAAGTACCTGAACTGCTCAGACAGCCAGCTCTCAGCCAAAGCGCCCATGTCCCCAACTTTAAGCCTTAATACATTTAAAAATAAAAAAGAGAAAGACAAACTATCCCACGTACAGTTGTTATATTATAAAGTGTAAATATGTTTGTTTGTTTGTTTTCTGGTGAAATTTTGGATGTTTTAGCACGAGAGTCAATTAGCACTGCCTCAAGTGGACATTACAGGAACTGCAGTTTTTTGTACTTTTAAACTTCCTTTTTTTTCTTTTTATTGTAAAAACTCAATCCATGAAGACAAAATATATGTATCACTTAAACTGTAAAGTAATAGCGGGGTACTGAGGTAGGAACAATATCCTCATATATTAAAGCATTAATCAGCATTGCGTCATTATAATGGCAGGTTATCACATTGTTACCAGGATATATTTCTGTCTGCCTCACAGACGTGTGTGTTTGCACATTTTTACCCCAGTTCTAGCCTCTTGTTACCCACTTACTTATATTTGAGTGCTGTTGATACTAGGGCTGCCACGACAAAATCGTCGACGACTAATTCAATAATCAACGCATCATTTTAATCTTGTAAGATCCTGAAAGACGCTGGAATAAGTAGTAGGATTTAAGAGGGTAATAACAGACTGAAACAGAAGATGGCAGCAATGCATCTACAAGGATGCCAAAGTTAAGTCTGGGAGCATAAAGAAGAATAATGTCCAATGCAAAATCTGCACAATGGAACTTGCCTTCCATGGCGGCACGACGGCGATGCACGAGCATCTGAAAAGGAAGCACGTCATGGCTTCTGATGACGAAGTGGTACAGTCATCTCGGTAAGCTAATTGGCTAGTTAGCTGCTAACATTAGCGTAAACAGCGAGCTACTTACTCATATTGATAGCTGTAAATGTTACGTTACAGTACTGCAAAACAATATGTTCGTCTTCAATGGACTTTGTCACCAACAACTTGCACACATCGTCGCACAATTTGGGGGCCTTTCGGTTTGTTGCTACAATCTGCAAATTTCACTAAAGGTTTAATAAACTATCATCTTGTCTTTATTTTTAGTTAGCACATACCTTAAACACTTCCAGCTGTAAGCTAATGATAGTTACATAAGATCAGATGCATGCTGGTGCAATAAGCTGTAGTTTTACGTCCAATGGATGCATGATCTGATTAGTCGATTAGACTAGTCGACTATCAAAATAATCGTTTCTGGCAGCCCTAGTTGATACAAGAGTGGGATGGATATTGGACATTACTTTGGAAATTAAGCGATTTCCACAGATTACCTTCTTGTATCTTAATGCCCTACTATTACCATAAAAATATAAGAGAAAGCATTTATAAAATGCACACATAAATGAAAAATATAAAGGCTAAAGTAAATATGAATTATCAACACGCAGGGCCCGTGATGTGAGAAATCCCAGTCTCTGGGGTCCACTGGTCACCCCACCTACCTCTGTGCAAACTGTGAATGAGTGTGAGGGGGAATCCTGTTCTGCAAAGCCAAATGTTTTGCAGAATATGTGAAAACTTGTTTCATTTGATTACGTATTCATATTTAAATTGAGCGCTGACAGGTCATCATTAAGAATCTCATCAGCTAAAACAATTAGCCTAGACTCTCTGGGTGTATCCTACAACCAGAACTTAATGAGCTGCAGTGGATCGCAGCATGATGAATATGACATTAGTAGAGTGCCTGTGTAATAAAAGCGCTCAGCATGCAGCAGGAAAAGCCGTGATTCCCTCATTTCAACCGCATCAGCAATTCAGACAAACACAACAATCCAGCAGCACAGCAAGTTTAAATAAGAGCCGCTTGGCTTTTATGATGTTGTGCAGCAATAATGAAATAAACTCATGTTGCTGCTTAATGTCCCTTTGATGTCTCCCTGTTGCACCAAACACACAATAAGATAAAAATGGATGAAACATTAGCCGACACTTGATGATCAGTCACTCAGAGAATGTACTGTACAGGCTTAATAGGCTTAATATCCCAAATTAAATATAAAGCACGGTTGTTTCCCAGCCTCTGAAGTATTGAACCCCCTTCTGCTTCTATAAAAAATGATAGTTTTCAGCAGCAAAACTTATCACATATTAAATGATGAGCTTTATGCATTTAAAGATCTATCTCATAGTCTTTTTAACTAAATCCTTCCAAGTTGGAAAAACATAAAAGCATATCTGTAATGTTAGAGGTTCTGCTGTTCTCCTGCAGCCAGAACTGCCATCCACTATTTTTTGGGTGACCAGAGTTGGTGCAACTATCAGCAATCAATCAATTTAGTGCCCTTACTATATAACCACTGATGGTTTTTGCTTAGATTATGGCATCAGTGAAGTGGACCTACCACTCCGATGTCGTCACTACTGTGTATTAATGTGTATGTCCAAAAAAAAAATCCCCCACTGCAAGCTCGGGTCGTCAGCCAGAGGCCTGGGAGCTCTATTGGACAGAGATCTCGGATGTTGGTCCTGGGATCTGCAGGAGCCACTCCCCTAGCTTTGGGGTCACTGCACCGAGTGCTGCGATTACAACGGTTACCTTCACCCTCCGCATCTTCTTGAGCTGCTCTTTCAGCCATTGGTACTTCCCAGGTTTCTCATGTTCCTTCTTCTTGATGTTGCTATCACTCGGTATCGCTACATCTATCACTACGGGTCTCTTCCTCTGCTGGTTCACTACTACACTACAGTTCGTCTTGTGATTGGAAGGTTGCCGGTTCGAGCCCCGGCTCGTACAGTCTTGGTCATTGTATCCTTGGGCAAGACACTTTACCCGTTGCCTACTGGTGTTGGCCAGAGGGGCCGATGGTGCGATATGGCAATCTCGCTTCTGTCAGTCTGCCCCAGGACAGCTGCACCTGTAGCTGGCTCCACCCGTGAGTGAATGTGAGTGTAAATGAATAGTGGAATTGTGAAGCGCTTTGAGGGTCTCGAAAAGTGCTATATAAATGCCATCCATTATTATTAATTATATCGTCAGTTATATCGTTATTGCAAATTTTCAAATGTATATCGTGATAAATATTTTTGGTCATATCGCCCTGCTCTAGTGGTAGTAGGGACTGTCCAGATGTCACATCTTCTAGTAGACTTTCAGAGGATGCTTCACGTAGTCTTCGTAATCGGCCAGGAGGATCCAGGGTAGAGCTGTTATCCATTATCTCAGGTCAGCCGCTCTCGCACTCAAGGCCTTCAACGCACCAGTTGTTCTTGGGGTTTGGTGTCCAGTCTCGGAGGGTAGGGCTGATGATATCTCCCACCTCAAAAGTCAAGGAAACCACAGGACACATCCAAAAATGTTTCATCACACCGCTGGTAAAATGTTGCCTTGGTGGTTAAAATTTAAACAGGGTAATGACAAAAAGTACCTTTAACCCATATCACAAGCTCATCCCTAAACTAACCGAGTAGTTTTTAGTGTTAAACCCAATCTATTAAACACAAGCGCCTCAATGGGGAGTCAGATTTGTAAGTTATTATTCCAACACTGGAGTAACGGAGTACATGTACCAGCATTACATACTTAAAATACAAAATATGAGTAACTGTATTCCGTTACAGTTACCATTTAAAAAGGTGGTATTCAGAATACAGTTACTTTGTTGAAATAAATGGATTACACGGCGGTCTTTTCCTGTTTCATATGCTCGGCTGTGTCCTCTCTGTTTTTGGTAATTCCAGGCCAGTGGAAACCCAAACAAAACACACATTAAGAGGCTCTGATGTCTGTGTCTCAATCTCGCGGCCCATGTCTCCTCTACTTGTGCCCCGAATAGTGATGTGAAGAAATATTTTTAAAAATTATTATTCAAAAAATGATTTAATATGAAGACAATAGGCAGAGTGTTACAGGCATCGCCCTAAAGAAAGTACGAGCTGTCACGGAGCAGAAACGGGAGCTGGAAGCATGTAAATATAATAATAACCACTGCAGCCAAACAGAGAGCCTGACGAGCCCAGCTGTAAGTAAGCTGTTAAGACTCGACTGTACACTGTGTTTGTGTTTTCCTCTGAAATAATAAGTTCCAGAATAGTTTTCTACACGAGATCGCTGCAAAAAGTGCAGCCTTACCTAATGTCCACCTACTGTTACTCATTTATATTTAGATTTAAACATCTGGTTGGTGTTGGTGTGGAGAGTAACCTTCAGTAATAGTAATAAATCACACAGCAATACGACATTCATGTAGTTGTAAAAAGCATGATAATATAAAAAGTAAATATATAAAGTATATATATACATAAAGTAATCCAAAGTATTCAGAATATTCGTCATATAATCTGTAGTGGAATACATTTTAGAGGTAACCTTCCCAACGCTGATGCCAGCACATAATTGGACCCCATTATTTGCCACCACCACCTTAAGATTCTTCATATGTTTGTGCTTATAACCTCACCTCTGACTGTCTTTTCTTTATCTGTAGTCTCCACCAAAAGGAGCGACTATTCCATACCGACCCAGCCCGACTCCGGGAACTGTACTGCTGGCAGGAAACCAGGTAAGCTGTTGGAGAATGATGGTAATTAACATCCTGCTGGAAATCACGTACCACTGTAAAGGTCCTTCAGATGAACCGTAACAGGGAGCAAAACATAAAATATGCAAGACGGCAGGAAAATGATAGATGGAGCAGACAGAACAAAATAATGCAGGTATCCGGTGATGAAAGTAGTATGAGAGTGGCAGAATAAAGGAAATGATTAATGAAGGCAGAACAAACAGATTTATAGACGGAAGAAAATCAGGTAACAGAAGGAAGCATGAAAGGAGGAGAGGCAGAGATGTTGGTGAGAGAGGCACGGGCGGACGGATTAATGGGTCAGATAGACGCGTAGATGAAGGGGATTTAGGGAGGTATGAAGAAATGATGGATGTATGGGAGTACTGAGGAAGAGATGGAGGAGTGGACGGATGAGTGAGTCGATACATAATTTATTATTCAAGAATATGCTTTGGTTTGCAATTTCAGTGTCAGACAGAATACCCACATGGTCGCTTACCCTCTTCTGTTTTTTCCATGCACAGACACAGTCATGTTTCCATCTTTTCAGAGGAGATCAAACTGCCTTACTTTAATTTCCTGGATGTAGACTAAACTTAATCTAGAACAGCAATTTCCTTCAAATGGCTCCACAGACAACTTTTGGTCCTCACAAAAAACCGAGGTCCCCGCAAGTCATTAAATAGATTTATGTCCCCACAACATCAGTAATACAAGTATGGATGTGTACACACACACAGTCCACTTGCTAAGTTGTAAGGTGTAGGCGGCTCCTGTCACACCAGTTCAGTGTGATAAAATGATGCTTTTTTATGACGACTCACAATTCTTAAGTATTCACTAGAGAAAACATTTGTCGCTGCTGGAGAGGAAACCTTGGTTTGTCTGTGTTTCTGTGGAGAATGAATTTGTTGGATTGGAAAGTTTTCACCAAATTCTACTATATATGATTTTTATTTCCAGACCAGATTGTTATCTCTTCCAGGGAAGTCATGTGAGCATCCATTTGATAGCATCCTTGAAAGGCTGGGGATGGATTTGAACAAATATGGGGACTGGTTGAACTTGATTCACTTTTAGATACAATCTGATTCTATAACCAGGAATTTGTGGAAAACGTTTTTTGTTCCAAAATAGGGCAAAACTTTGCATCATGTAAGATCAGATGGACATCTATCAGGTCATTGGTGACCCATCTAAGGCTACGATTAAGATATTGTTTGTTTATAGCTGAACTTTTCCTTGTTTGGAACACCTCATAATGGAAAGACACTGGTGTCAAATATATTTGAGTTCAACTTAAAACGATCTTGTAGTTTCTATAAATTTGCCTTAGACATGTTTGGGCTGGTGCCCTGGTGCATATTACATGATCGGTGATCTCAAAATTAACTTAGATTTTCCTTCAAAGGTCTTAATATTTTTTACAAAATGTGCATGAAACACTTTATTTTGTTGTGACATCTTTTATTCAGGTAAGAAAAACAAGGTCGCACAAATAGGATGCAATCTGCAATCGATGTAGAAAACCTGAAAAATGAAATTAGATGTTTGTCTGCAGACTCGAAGGTAATCAGTGGGAATCCACCTCGTAGTTAAAACAAAACAATGGATTTGCTGTCTTAAAGATAATTTAAAGTAAAGATATAATAAGAAACGATGCTTTTTGCCTTCTTACCACTTATTCTGCCAAGATGCTCTTCAGGCTGCAGGGATTGATTGTCAGTATAATCACATCAAGTCCCATTTCTGACGATTACACTGTCTATTGGGGATCTTCAGATTAAACCAATAACTCATTGTAATAGATCACCATGTGGAACTGATTTAGGTAATTGTATCATGGTGTTAGAGGATTATAGTCAAGGTTGGAAAGGAAAATCTAGATTATTTATTGATAAAATCAACAGGCCTGTGCCTACCTCTTTTATAAAGGCGCCTGTCCACTCAGTTTGGTTGCCGGGTCTCACGCCTGTCTGACTGACCACCACGGACCACCGAATTTCTCCGTCTACACCTCCAATTCTCTCCCTCCTCAACCACCGGACGAAGCCCCCAAATGTTAAGGTTCAAATATTGAGGAAGGAGAGTACAAACAACCATGGTCCAAGAGCTTGGTCAAACAATTGATTTTAATGAAATACACGCGTGGGAAGACCAGCTCCGTTCGCAGACAGCGCTGATCTCCAACCAATCAAAGCGTAAAACAGATTTTTTATACCATCAGGGTTTGAATTTAATGACGCCCGCTCATGCGTCATCAGATACAATATTTGCATACGTCAATTCAAAACCACAATGACTTTTAACACAGTTTGAAAAGGAACATTGTCTCTGTCTTCATGGCAGATGTTTCCTGTCAACCCGCTTCTCCAAACCCGCAGTTACAAGACAACATGATTAACCTCTCACCTATAAATGATTCTCTCTAACTGAGTGTGTGTGTGTGTGTCGTCCTTAAATGCTCTCTCATCTCACCCGTTGCACTTCTGACTTTTCACCAGAACAGAGGCTCATCCTTACATGTAATCCTCAGAATAACCTGCACTTAGACCCTGCTTTCGGTTTCAGTTCTGCAACAGGCACACTCTGCAAACCTGCAATTTCCTGTCAGCCTGTGGCTTTCTGAAAGACACACACTGTTTAAACATCTGAATGCAATATCAATACTGTAGATTATATTATTAATCTGGACAATAGCAGCAAAATAATTTCCCTGATCTCCACACAGCCTAATAATGTTTCTCCAAGTGTTATTGAACAAAAACAGCATATATTTTACTTGTTTGCATTTGCAGAGTTTACAAATGAAACTGTGACATCTACTAAAATAAATGTTCAGTGATGCTGAGCGCCATAAACCCCGACCTAAACGTTCCTGCATTTACAGAAAGTATTAATCGACAGAGAAAAACATGTTCTGGGTAGAAGTGGCTCAACATTTAGCCCAAGGCTGCTCCAGTGTAAACACAGGTAGAGGATTTTATATCTTTCTAAGTTTCTTAGTCCTGGGGAAAGTCCCTGCAGTGAAATGACAGCTAGAAGCACGAGAAGCTGCTGTTAAGACTCTTTGTGCCTCTGCTAGCTTAAGTCTGGGAGTCTCTTGGCCCTTTGACAGTCAGTAGAAACACATTTATGGCCCTTTGTGAGTCACTGTGTTACGGCTGTGCTACAAAATCTCTCTGTGTGTTTCTTTAAGTGTAACCCCAGAGATTCCCAGCGTACCGCAGTCACATCCTTCCTGTTTAACCCGTTGACCTTGTAAAGTTGTTCTTGTTGAGCTTGGATTACACCACTGTTATTGACTCTTATTGACAAGGCACAAACTGGAAATGTGGTCGTCCAGATTTCTAAAGAAACTGAAGCTACAGAAGCACCAGCAGCATGTTTCGTTCCTCAGAATCATCCAGATTCTGCTACATTTAATTTTTCATCAAACCCAACACACCAGAGGAAGACCGCCTGAAGATGCTGAGTTGGGGCTAAAAGCTCACAGGTCAGGCGGTGGTGACAACAAACATCTCTCCTTCTAGAGACCCA